ACGCCTCACAGCAGTTGAATGAGTTGAACGGTTTGCAGGAGTTGTCCATCACTTCCCAACTGAGACTCAACGACGAGCTGATGGCCGCCAAGAACGCGATGAATGAGTTTAAGGCCTCTTCGGCTGAGCAGAGGTTTATTGTCCGAGAAATTCTCGACCGATTCATACGACTGCAGGACTTTGTCTTACTTGAGATGTCTTACGGCTATTCCATTGTCTTCTTCGTGGTCTCAATGATAATCGTATACTTCATGACAACCCCTGTCCGCACAAATGAGGCCCGACTCTGGCTTTTCGTCGCTTTGATTATCAATTTATTTGTTGAACGACTCATCGCTTCGTATTCATTGGACGACCAGTTAATGGGTCTGAAGAGCACATCCATTGTCATAAATGAGAGGATTTGGTTGTCCAGAAAAATCACGTTAACCCTTATGGCCGCTATTTTCGTGTGGTTTGCCATCACTTACAAAAACTATGGTTATGTTAACCACAGTATTCTCAATGAACACACTTTACGTCTGAATCTCATTCAGAGTCAATTGAATCAGATCTGCAAAACAGGTATTCATTGAAATCCTATGCTTTTTTCATGTATTCATTAATTGTTGTCTTAATCTTTAGTCGACTCATCGCCTCAAAAGTCAGTGGAATGTGTGGACAAACGGGACAATGAATATTCATCTGATAGTGACAGCGATTTTATGGCAGATTCTGGTAATAGTAGTGATGATAGCGATGTCAGCGAGGCTTCCATAGAGACCTGTTCTACCATCGAAATTGTCTCCTCGAGTACTACTAAACCTAATGATAATGACATGAATTTAGGCAATTCATCGAATGACGAGACCCCGACCCCTCCTTTGCTGACTCTAAGCCCCTCTTACAACCTGAGGCCGAGAAAGAGTATTATTTACACTAAAAACGGAATTATCAACGAAACCGTCGATGACTTTATGGCAAAAGTAGAACTTTCGGCAAACATTTCGAAATTCAAGTCTCAAAGTATTCACCCGAATGTCAAGAATTTTTTGTCTTCAGATGAAGACTAAAAGAAAATGTTTTAAGTTTTCATTTATAATACACTTTAAGTACAACCACTTTAGAGTTTTACCGGTATTTATGAATTTGTTTTCAATTAATTGTAAATAACTTTTAATGTTTAATTTTTAATGTTTAAAATACTTTTTAACTTGATTTTATTTTGCCTAATACTTAATGTATAAAAAAATATGAATTTGTAAAAAACAATTGAGTTTTGTATTACTGTAATAAAATTGTCATTTGTTGTATAAGAATAAAAATGAAAATTTGTATAATTAATGTGACAATCAATGAAATTATTGAGATCTCCAAACGATTGTCAATTTTAGAGAATAGAGACCAGAGTTGACAACAATTGAATCATCAAATTGTTTCCCATTTATAATATCATTGATTTTAATCAAACCAATTGTTGTAGACTTTTGGGAATTATTGATAACTTCTAGTTTGAGCGCATGTTGACCATCGATGACTTCATGGGTAATGTATTCAAGTATTTGTTGATTATTTGTTGAGTTCTTGACGGCGATAAGTGGCACAAAATTATTGTTTAGACCGCAATATATGTTGAGTTTGTGATCGGAATTAAAGTTATTCACAAAAACAGTCGCTTTTCCTGATGTGCGCTGAATTTGTCTCACATTTGTATCTCTAGTTTTCGTACCAAACTTGCCATTAAAATCATTGTCTTTATATTTGGCTAAGAAGTAGCTGCCGTGGAATGCAACCAAACTGATGACAGCAATCGTGAGTATGATTGCAATATATTTGCAAAACTTTTTGATTTCATTACTTTTAATCTCAATAGCATTTGGCGAAACACTTTCACCGCTGATTTGATTCATCTCTAAATTATCCATAATTTTAAAAATCCTTTGCAACTGAAAATATGTAAACAATTTATTACACAGTATTATGAAATTGGAAATTTATAAAAATGATATAATTGTTAAACAAATTGTGATATACAAATATGAATTACTGGATGCGATAACAAATTATGAATTCACTGCAGTGTAGTCTATGTTTAAAAGTTTAAAAACATATTCCGATATTTGATTCAACATTT